TTTAAAATATTTTTCATCTTTAATTTTATGTTAAGTCAGTGCACAGATCACATGCAAAACACTTGCGTTACGCCTGCTTGGTCTCACGCTGTCTTCTGATATGAGGTGGAATAAAACACATTGAATCAATAGCTTTCATCTAGGAAAGTGGGTTCTCTTTGACGTGCCAGAAGGTTTTTCACATCTGAGTCCATCCATGAAATCAATAAATCAACTATCCGTCCTTACACGGAATATTGCTGTCATATATAGTCTGGTGCTCCTGCGGTGCTTCTCGAGGTATACGACAAAATCCATACACGAATATGCAATATGATAGGTCCGGATCTGGCATCTAGTCTACAATCGCTATCCCACAGACGTGCTGTGGCTTCCCTCTGACTCATAGCAACTGTTCTGACGAGCTACTTTCGCTGGTTCCCAATTCAAGCCACCAGGCTGGCATCTCGGTCCCACCCTTTCACTGTCAAAACGATTAAATATCTTTTCTACTGAAACAGCTTCTTCTCTCGCACTTCCCGTCTGTGGAACTCCCTTCCCCTTACTTGCTTCCCCGATGACTATGATCTTCAAATATTCAAGTGTAATGTCAATTGACATCTGATACCTTGATCTTGTTCCCTGGCCTTTTCTGTACCCTTTCCTCAAACACGCCTCTTTACTCTTGTTCTAAAAATCTAAAAATCCTCTGTAACCCTTGTGTGCACTCCCGCCTTGCTTGGGGTGAATTGCTTTAAAAAAGAGGTAATAAGGTTTAAATCTGGACTAAATTATGAATGCTGAACAAGTTGGAGATCGGATGCAAGGTTGAAATGAGAAGAATATTTGCGTAATACTTTTCTACTTGTGGAATAGCCTGTTTATGCATTTCAAAAAAGCAGTCATCGGGATGATCGACTTAATGCGAACGATCCTTTCCTTAACTGCATTGTAGGTGTTTCGACAGGGCTACATACAGTTTTGAATTCAAAGTTTTCCTAGACAGCTTGGGATCCAAAGCTATCTGTCCTACTATTTACCCATAGCTGGTGTGTGATGGCTTGATTTCAAACCTTTCCCAAGGGTATTAGCACGTAAGTGAATGTAAGGAACTCGATTGGAATTCGAACTCGGCACCTCAATCCGAGCCGCAATCCATTACTCTACCTAGTTCAAGGTAATTAATATCCAGGTATATGTGCAATATAGATATGCAGGTAGTGTATTGGATAGCAGTTCAGAAGGAAAAATCAGCGTGACGAGTTCGAATCCCAGTTCGTTTTTTTACATTCATTTTCGCGTAAATACCCATGGGAAAAGCTCTTGGATAGCAACTGGTCTACCGCAGAACAAAATGGCAACCTATTGCGGGAAAGGATCTGCCTCATCAGTCATGTATCGAAAGATACATGATCGCCTCAGCGTGTATCACATAATTGACTGACTAGGATAGACTGGGCTTTTTGCTCTTTGGCTGTCAACCAGTTTTTGAGAAGATCAACTCTGAATACGAAAAACGTATGTCGCCCTGGTACACCACATCGACAAGATCATGGAGTTCACAATGACTTTATAACCACGAATGCATCGATAGATGTGCAGGTGGTGTAATGGATAGCGGCTAGAATAGGAAATCGGAGATCCGAGTTCAAATTCCAGTCGAGTTTTGTTATAATCACTTCCTCGCAAATACACTTAGCAAAAGATTAATCCATTTCTTTTCCCACAAATAGCAGGTCAGACTTGATTCTTCTGTTTTGGTTGGTTTACCAAGGCAGAAAAAGGACAGCTCTAGATTCAAAATCTTATGTAACCCTGGCGAATCACATAGGCGAAGTTAACAAAAGTATCGTTCTGTTTACAATGACTGTTTGATTCCGATTGTCGCCGTTTAAATGCATGCCATACACAGACGCGTGCACAGACATATACGCGTGAACTTTGGAACCTAGCACATCCCAAAATAAAATCCTAATCCTGAGCGTCTTGGGTAAGACGATAAACTTCGTCCAACAGCAAGGCATCTGATCAGGACGTTTTGAGGAGTGTAGAACCACCTCTTAATTGCTGCTGTTCACAGACCCACCATGACCCGGCGTGGTAGAACCTGTTAGGGTCCCAACTATAGGCAAATAGTTAACCCACAAACTGGGGTCAAAACAATATGAAAGTGTAAAAATACGTTTGAATACCAGAAATAAATTTTTTGAGAAAAAACTATTACCAGCAATACATTATTGTCAGCAATACATTTTTGAAGAAAAAAAAAATATTAGCAGCAATAAAAATCTTGTCGGCATTAAATAACCCAGTGAAGTTGATATACCGTAAAACAAACCAAACCAAACCTAATCCTGAAGTTGCGATTTACTTGTGTTTATAGGCTAGTCAAGTACCTGGTGCATTTTTGCCATGAATTTGGCTTTATCATCGGTCTGAAAATGAGAGAGACCATGACATCAGCATCGGAGACAACATCCTGCAAATCATAGATTATTCACCTACCTGGGATTGGTAGTATTCAGCTGTTTATTGAGCCAAAGCTTAACGGGCGGATGGGGAAAGTCAAAGTAATGATCGTAAAATCTTTCAAAGGGAGTGTTGGAAAACAAGCTCACCACAACTGTCAATATTAGAATGTACAGAGATTCCAGGTCCAGTAAACGCTATTACGGTTGTGTGAGTTGAACATTCTATATTCATTAAGAGCATCGTTGCAATAGTTTCTATTTGCGATGATGGTGACGGATTCTGGGGGCATTTCCTGTAACAGTCGTGTGTTCACCAAGGACACTGGACATATGAATTCCACGTTCAGCAACATATATACCCTCTACTACGCTGGATTGGCTCCGTCTTCCGTATGCAAGACCATCATATCCTGAACGATATTCTGTACGGAAAGATTACCGCGGAGTCTCTGTTTGTAAAGCGGCCAATACTGCGATACAAGGAACGTTCTTAAATATGACAAAGTCGACTGATATTGAACGTATTTCACTTATAAAACTAGAAATTAGCTTCTGTTCAAGAAAACTGCCATTTATCTCGAGGTGACCTAGGTGTGGCCTTGGAAGCGACTACATGCCATGATTGGGTGGTCCTCGTTCATATTGGCTATCATATCCACAGTAACAGTATCAAACGAATCGTTGATATTAGGAGTCCACTGCTTTCGACGGCACCTCGGACATAGTAGCCCAAAGTAATCAAATCTAGGCTATTATACGTTGGGGTGACACGATCGTGAAAATTCTCGGCCAGCATTTCCCAAAGTCATGTGGGACGGAATATAGAGTGCTATTGGAACACACCCTACTTCTCCTGGGGCCACTCTCTCGATTCAGGGTTAGATTACTGCGTCCAACACCTCAATGTAGCTGGTGGTATTGATACTGAGGCACTGTGAACAGAAGTGGGGTCACACATCATCGTGAGTACCACTTTGTTGTACGCGTAGAGCCACTAGTCGTTCTTCCTGCTTTCCTCCTGGTTCCAGTCGTTCTTGTCAAAGAACTAGACCATAGCAGGATCCTCGAGGCCCTTGCACATGCTCAGCAAGAACTTTGATCGGATTACACGGCTCTTCTGGGTCATTTCATAAACTGCTTTCTAATCTCATTGTACTAACTTTCTCATACACCACACGTCTGATAATGAGCTGCTCGGCAATACCGTCATCGACTTCCTGAGATCATAGTTGATGACCAGCTGTACAAAATGTGCCGCCCGCAAGACGTCTTACCGTTTATAATGTGTATTTTCTTGGTTACGAATGATATATCCGCGCCTCGAACTCGTTCATAAACTTGAAGGATGTGACCACATTCAAGAATGTGGATATGTACGAGTCACTGTCGGTGGTAGATAGTACCACAGCATGTCTTTTTATTTAATGTGTCAGATTAAAAGCTACCATCTTAATTCTCTCAATAGCTCTGAAAGAGAAATGGGCATGC